GGCGACTGGGCTCCGCAGTGGTGCAGTTGCCGCGCGGGCGCCTGTCCCGACCCAACGGGTTCTCGCTCGCTGTCCGGAAAGAACCAATGAAAAACGCTGTTGCAGCAAAAAAGAGGTTAATAAGCGCAGGGCTGGCCAAACCAGAACAGGGTCTCAGACCTGTCTCCCTGAGAATTCGGGGTCGAGGGTTTTAAACAGTATTTTGGCGGCAGGGGGCTGGGAAACTAAAACAATTGACCGGCTGGGGATGAAATCACAGGAGCGTCTGAAACTCTGAGCGGCTTCGTTGGTTCCCAGGAGGGGGTGGGGTCAGTTTCCCTTGTCTTGAAGTTAATACGAAATCCCTCGTAGTTATCCTAGCCTCTATGCTAGAATAAGAAAACGACAACACAAAATCTTAGCCCGTGAGGTTAGAAGCAAGATGAGTCAGTCGTGTTAGATTTCTCTCATTATTTATATATCTGTAAAGGCGGTTTCAGGGCACTTTCTGAATTTAGCCCATGTCTCACCTGTGATCCCTCTTCTGGGTATTTGCAAATCACTTTATTAGGTTTTTAAAATTATCGCAGGCATGCGAAGGGGCCGATATACTTTTGCCATGTTCAGAGTGTATTCAGGTCTTGTAATGATCATACGGGTGTAATATTGAGTAAGAGGCAAATGTGGGCAGAAAAGATCAAATGTGGTTTTCAGCTAAGAAGCCTGGTTGCTCTTATTTTTCAGTTATTCGCCATTGCATAGAATAAAGCCCCGAAGAAACGAAGAATAAGAACATGGGAAAACTTGGCTTCCATGTTAAACCATGTAAATACCAGGTGTTAGAATAGTGGTAAAGGACTTGTTTCTTTCACATCCATGTACTCTCAAAGACCTCATCAGTCTTGGAAAAACATTGTTTCGAAGACAATGTGTATGATTGATTTGGTTATATGAAGAAATTATTTCTAGGATTTCCTTGTAATTCTGTGATAAGCAGGAATACAAACTGGAATTTTTACAGGTCACTGTAGTAGAGGTTTTAGTTTGATTTTTTGTTTTGCCTGTCATGCTCTCTCTTCCTTATAATTCTTTGTGGTATGATTGAAAAACGAACACTAGGGCTGGATGCGGTGGCTCACGCCTGTAATCCCAGAACTTTGGGAGGCCGAGGTGGGCGGATCACCTGAGGTCGGGAGTTTGAGACCAGCCTGACCAACATAAACAAACCTCATCTCTACTAAAAATACAAAATTAGCCTGGTGTGGTGGCACATGCCTGTAATCCCAGCTACTCGGGAGGCTGAGGCAGGAGAATCGCTCGAACCTGGGAGGTAGAGGTTGCGGTGAGCCGAGATCGCGCCATTGCACTCCACCCCGGGCAACAGGAGCGAAACTCCGTCTCAAAATAAAAAACAAAAAACAAACACTATAAGCTTTTTGAAAAATCAAGTAAATTCATTCCAGTGTTTTTCCTGCAATGAAAAAGAATGCATCGCTTTTCTAAGGTTTTAATAATCATAATAGCTGCCAGTTATTCAGGACCTTCTATGTACCTGGCAAAGTGTTAGGAACGTTTTATCCATTTTCTCTTATGTGCTAAGCAGTCCTACTAGCTGCTTCATCCTGGAAATATAGATGGGAGACTGAAGTCAAGGACTACAACTGTGTGTTTAACATCTCTCTTGACTCGCAGTAACCTCCAGTTCGGCACGTCCAAAATGAAACACATGTCTCTCTTCTGCCAATATGTTTTGCCCCACCCCTGCAACACTCCCACTGCCAGAAAAATCACACGAACAGAAACCTCACACACAACCATTGTGCCTTTCCTCTCTCAGGGAGTGCCAGAAACCATCTGGTTCATGCCAGAAACCTGGGAGTCAACCTTGCCCTCTTCTCTGCTTGCCCCCCCATAAATCTGCCCGCACAAATCCTGTCAACTGTTCTTACATCTTTCCTTCCCATTTTTTCTGGCCCCATTGCCTCCACTGTATTCCATTTCATTATTTTCCTGCCTTTTCTGTTGTTAGAGCCTCCTAACTGGCCTGTGTCTCTGAGCTGGCCTTCCTGCCCCTCCTCCACTGGTCCATTTAATCTGCAATCTGAGTGAATGTTTTTTCTAATATGCAAATACGATGATATTGCGTTCTTGGTTAAAATGCTTCAGCAGCCTATTACATTCTTCTTTCAATTTCTTGAACTGAATGTAATTTCTTTAGCTCTTAAATATGCAATTTCCTCTTCCATGATTACTGTTTTCCTCCTCTTTGTCTAGTCAAGTTTCATTCATCCTTCAGGCTTCAGCTTAAATAGCCTACATTTGTTGAGGTTTATGGTTATCTCTGATGGGATGTCCATGATGGCAGGGATTATGAGAGATTTGTTCAGATCATAACATCTGACTCAGTTGGTGCTCAGTGTCTACCTGTTGAATGTAGTCTAGGGGAGGAAAAACATTTTTTTCTCTACCCTCTTAGGTTCAGTAGCTGGGCCCTGCAAAATAAACTGATGAAAGATAGATTAACAGGAAAAAAGGTTTATGCATAAATGTAAAGAAGTGGTTAGACCAGGGGGCCCACGTGCCATTTTAACAAAGAGTGATAAATTGTAGAGAAGTAACTAGACAAAAGTAGGGGAATTCTTCCTGGGTAAGTTGTAGGAAGATAAATATATGGGGGAAGCTAACAGAAGATAAGGGTTATTCAGTAAGGTTTGTTATGTGGACTCAAGTTGGCGCCTTCCCCATTGGTAAGAGTTGCTCTCTTCCTGGTACTGGAAAGGAAGACACATTTACAAAAGGATGTTTATTACCTGTACACAGGAAAATTTATGCCCTGCATTTATACAAAAAAGGGAGGGCAAAGAGCAAATTGGTTTCAGCTCAAAACAATTCTTATGTGAAAGTGGCATATTTTGGGGTATCATACACTGATCCCCTTCAAAAGGAATAAGTTGCTTTTCTCTTATCATGGTTATGAGAGCTACTTTGAATTAACTTCTGCTTTTTGAAAGTACATTTAATTCTCAAATGTTTCTGCTTTTGAATGCAGTTTGGGAGAGCCCATGGTGACTGCGTGAGTGGAGCCCAGCTGTGTGGATGCCCCAGCATGGATGACTACATGGTCCTGAGAATGATTGGGGAGGGCTCCTTCGGCAGAGCTCTTTTGGTTCGGCATGAAAGCAGTAATCAGATGTTTGCCATGAAAGAAATAAGGCTTCCCAAGGTCACTACTAAAGAAATTAGCTCACTTTGAAAGTATACATGTAATTTATATAAAAGAGTAAGTTTTTGGCCAGGCATGGTGGTTCACACCTGTAATCCCAGCACTTTGGGAGGCAGAGGCGGGTAGATCACCTGAGGTCAGGAGTTTGAGACCAGCCTGAGGTCAGGAGTTTGAGGCCAGCCTGGCCAACATGGGGAAAACGCGTCTCTAGTAAAAATAATTTTAAAAAATTAGCCAGGTGTGGTGGTGTGCACCTGTAGTCCCAGCTATTCGGGAGACTGAGGCAGGAGAATCACCCGAACCTGGGAGGCAGAGGTGGTCGTAAGCTGAGATCGTGCCACCGCACTCCAACCTTGGTGACAAAATAAGACTCTGTCTCAAAAAGTAAATAAATAAATAATAAGTTTTTTAGTTTTAATATGGAATTTCTCCTTCATGCAAAAGATAGAATTGGTTTATTCGTTAGCTTTGTAAGGGCTCAATACATTATATGTGGTTCTTAGGATACTGTAATGAACAATGGGAGAAAAACAGTGAAAGTTTTGGAGGTGATTACTGCTAATTTTATTTCAGCAAATAATTGGTAATAACTTCCACTTTTGTATACCTAATGGTGTAGGAAATCTTTGCCAAAGCAATTCAGGTGCGATATTAATGAAAAAGGATCATAAAAATACAATGAAGAACAAATGCTAACCTTTGGTACCAGTAAACCTACTCTGTGGATCAGTTTATAGGTTTTATTTCCTTGTAGACCATTACTATGTATCATAGTTGTCCTATGAAAGAATTCATTACATGAAGACTATGTCATAATATTTTGGGTCAATTTTTAAAAAACACAGTCTAATAAAGGTCTCAGAGTGCTAGGTTTTTTTTTCCCACTGTATTCTTGACTTCATTCAGTGATTTTCAAACTTGAGTGAGCATCATAATCAGCTGGAGGGCTTGTTAAACCATGGATTGCTATGCTCCACCCCCAGGCTTCCGACTGAGTAGGGCCAGGTGGGCTTGTGAATTTGCATTTTTAATAAGTTCCCAGTTGGTGCTGATGCTGCTGGTCTGAGAACCCTTGTGTTATTACACAATGGCGATTTCTTTTCTTTCTTTTTTTAAATTTATAGATGGAGTCTTGCTCTATTGCCCAGGCTGGAGTGTAGTGGCACAACCATAGCTCATTGCAGCTCAAACTCCTGGGCTCAAGCAATCTTCCCACCTCAGCCTCCCCAGTGGCTGGGACTATAGGTGTAGTATACACTATAGGGGTGGTATAGTCCCAGCCACTGGGGAGGATAGCCACCACACCCAACTAACAACGGCAATGAAAAAAGAAAATAAAAGTACAACGAAGGGGTCAGCTCAAGCATGAAAATATAGCCAGAGTTGGAAAATCACCATGCATTTTCTCTTGTCATTTGACAAATTTAAGTTGAGCCAAAGTGTAGTGTTATAAAACTGCATCTAGCATTGAAGTATCACGTAAACTATATTATTGTAAAGTTATCTATTTTAAATGCAGTATTAAATTTATGCTTATTTAAAATTTTTTTTAGTCTTTCTCTAATACACAGAATTCTAGGAAGGAGGCTGTTCTTTTAGCCAAAATGAAACACCCCAATATTGTTGCCTTCAAAGAATCATTTGAAGGTAAATGCAAATTCCCCCAGATATGTGCATTTCTGAATTTGATTTATAGCCACTACAACTTTTCTAAAGAGCTTGTATCTGTTTTAGCTGAAGGACACTTGTACATTGTGATGGAATACTGTGATGGAGGGGATCTAATGCAAAAGATTAAACAGCAAAAAGGAAAGTTATTTCCTGAAGACATGGTAAGAGATTGACTTACATAGTTTCTCTGAAGGTTTAGAAGCCACTTTTCTCATAAATTTGTATAAGTTAAAACAAAAGCATTGATATCTGTAATTACCTGAGAAGGTAATAGAAATGACTGATTTCTGTATTGGTGTTACCACTTAGTGTCCCCAGGAGATGGCTGCCTGAAATGGTTTTAGGAAGTAAAATCTATATAAATTATTAAGAAATAAAACTTTCATGTTTAGA